CCCGAGAGCGTGCGCCCGCTCTGGTCGACGAGCGTCCCGGAGATGAACAGCGGGAGGTCGATGCCCGTGTGCTCGAGGAACTCGTTCACCGCGAAGCACGCCGCCTTGGCGTTGAGCGTGTCGAAGATCGTCTCGATGATGAAGATGTCGCAGCCGCCGTCCGCGAGGCCGACGCACTGCTCGTAGTACGCCTCGACGAGCTCGTCGAAGTCGCAGTTCCGCGTCGTCGGGTCGTTGACGTCCGGCGAGATCGACGCCGTCCGGTTCGTCGGGCCGATGGCGCCGCACACGAACCGCGGCTTCGTCGGGTCCATCGCCGTCACCTCGTCGCACGCCTCGCGCGCGAGGCGCGCGCTGTCGTAGTTGAGCTCGTAGACGAGGTCCTCCATCTTGTAGTCCGCCTGGGCGATCGTCGTCGACGAGAACGTGTTCGTCCCGATGAGCTGCGACCCGCCCTCGACGAGGTACTTCTTGTAGATGTCGCGGATGATGTGCGGCTGCGTGATCGACAGGAGATCGTTGTTGCCCTTGATGAGCATGTCGTAGTCCTTGAAGCGCTCCGCGCGGAAGTCCGGCTCGTCGAGCTTGTGCTTCTGGATCATCGTGCCCATCGCGCCGTCGTACATGGTGATGCGCGTCTGGAACAGCTCCGTGATGTACGACCGCACGCTGTCGCGGCCGCGCACGAAGTACGGGAAGCCCTCGGGGTGCGTGTCCTTGGGCTGGGCCCAGCTCGTCCGCAGGTCGTCGAACTGCGACACCGCCAGGCTCGGCCGCTTCTCGCGCGCCTTGAGGATCAGCGGGTGGTCGAGGCCGTCGTACGAGTACGGGTTCGGCACGTGGTCGCGCGAGACCTTGGTCATGGGCAGCGGCGGCTCCGTCTGGGGCTTCGATTCATAGTTCTTCTCCCAGTCAAACACGACGCGCTCCACGCGCTTCACCATGGCTTCAAATTGCGCGGGCGCGGCGCCGGCTGTTTATCGCTGCGGCCGAAAGCTCCAGGCGAACCGTGTCCAAGTGGTTCGCTCGGCGCCCTCGACGCGCAGTGCGGCACCGACGGGGTGCTTTTGCGTGCGCTGCGGCGGACCGGGGTGCTGCCACGCTACTCGCGACAAGACCAAGCTCCTGCAGCAAAGCGGAGGCGCGATCGTCACGTCGAGCTGGTGCGTCCTTCTCCAGCTTGACTGAGAGAGTAGCTCGCCAGTGGACGGATACCTTAACTAGGCGCGCCGCTGTGCGGTGCGCTGCGGTCTCTCCGCTGCGAGGCGTCTCGAGTCGACCGGCAGGGCGGATCAGGTCCGACCGACTTCCCGGCTCCGGCTTGCATCAGAACTACAGGAGCCGCTCCTAATAGAGGTACGCTTCAAGCGCTGCGCGGGTATGCGGGTTAAATACAGGTAGGCACCTTCGCGGACACAGGGCTCTCGCTCTGGCGTGTGGCACTGGCAGAGGAACCAGTCCGTGGAGCAGCCGCCACACCCGAGGCAAACGTAGGGCCCGCTCAAGCAGTGGTCCGAGTCGTCCAAGTCCTGGTCGGCGTGCAAGCCGTACGGTCCTCCGACAGGGCTCCGCTGCGGCACTAGGAAGATCCAGGGTCGATTTGGCACAGCAGAGTGGGCTGCACACCAGAAAAAAACCAAGGGCAAACCCGGGACATGGCCGTGTCGTGGCTACCGACGGCGGACATCGAGCGACCCACGGGCAGCGTAGCTGATCGCACAACCTGAAGATGGATGCGCCTCTAAGGCGCAAAGCCCGACTAGATCGCGTAGCGTCGAGCGCGCCGCGCGCGACGAGGCCCCCTAGCCGCGCGCCGTCCTCCCCGCCTGGCCGGGACCGATCCCGACCGGCGCGCGCGCACGCCGGGAAGGCGCCGCCAGGCCGATGCTGATGTTAGAATCCACTCAATCGACGACTCGCTGTCGTCTGGGTGGACCGCCGAGCCTCGCGTCGACCAGCGCCTGCGCGCGTCGCCGGCGAGCGCATAGGAGCCCGCGCCGCCGAGCCTCCGGCGAAAGCGCAGCACGACCATGGCGTCCGCGGCGGGCTACGTCGGCGGCCTCCTGCGCCTCGTGCTCACGGGCTTCGCGTGCCACAACGCCTACGACATCCGCATGAGTGCCATCCGGACCTACGGCCTCGTCATCCACGAGTTCGACCCCTGGTTCAACATGCGCGCGACGCAGTACCTCGCGGACAACGGCCCGAAGGCCTTCTTCACGTGGTTCGACTACCGGAGCTGGTACCCGCTCGGCCGGCCCGTGGGCACGACGATCTACCCGGGCATGCAGCTCGCGTCCGTGGCCATCTGGCGCGTGCTCAACGAACTCATCGGCTACGAGATGTCGCTCAACGACGTCTGCGTCTACGTGCCCGTCTGGTTCGGCGTCGCGGCGACGCTGCTCCTCGGCGCGCTGACGTACGAGTGCTCGCGATCGGCGAACGCGGCCGTCGCGTCCATGCTCGTCATGGCCGTCATCCCGGCCCACCTCATGCGCTCCGTCGGCGGCGGCTACGACAACGAGTCCGTGGCCATGACGGCCATGTGCCTCGTGTTCCTGCTGTGGGTCCGGTCGCTGCGGAACGACGCGTCGTGGGCTCTGGGCGCGGCCGCGGGCGTCGCCTACGTGAACATGGCGGCGTCCTGGGGCGGCTATGTATTTGTCGGCAACATGGTCGCCGTCCACGCCTTCGCCCTCGTGCTCCTCGGCCGCTTCGGCGACCGCCTGCACCGGGCCTACTCGCTCTTCTACGTCGTCGGCACCT